TTAAAAAGAAAAAAAATTTTTGAGACAGGGTCTTGCAAAGTTACTCAAGGCCTCACTAAGTTGCTAAGATTGGCCTTAAACTTGAAATCTTCCTGCGTCAGCCTCCTGAGGATTAAACAATTTTTTAAAAATATATATTTTTTAGTTGTAGATGGACATAATACCTTTATTTTATTTTATTAAGAGAGAGGGAGAGAGAGAGAGAGAGAGTTTTAATATTTATTTTTTAGTTTTCAGCGGACACAACATCTCTGTTTGTATGTGGTGCTGAGGATCGAACCCAGGCCGCACGCATGCCAGGCGAGCGCGCTACCGCTTGAGCCACATCCCCAGCCCCCTTTATTTTATTTTTATGTGGCACTGAGGATGGAACCCAGTGCCTCCCATGTGCGAGGCGAGCACTCTACCACTGAGCTCAAGCACAGCCCAGCCCAGATTAAACCATTTTTAAGTGTAACAGTTCTGTAGTGTAAAATCTATTCAAATTCTCTAGAACTTTTTCTTGCAAAACTTGAACTCTGGGGCTGGGGTTGTGGCTCAGTGGGAGAACACTTGCCTAGCATGTTTGAGGCACTGGGTTCAATCCTCAGCACCACATTTTTATAAAAATAAATGAATAAAATAAAGGCATTGTGAAAAAAAAAATCCTAAAAAAAAAAAAGAAAAGAAAAGAAAAAGGAAACAACAACAACAACAACAACAAAACACTTGAACTCTGAACCCATTAAACAATCTCTCTTCTTCCCTCTTTCTCCTGCTCTGGCAACTACGATTCAACTTTCTTTGTCCATGAATTTGACTGCTCTAGATTACTCATTTAGTGAAATCATATAGTATTTCTTTTTGTGATTGGCTTATTTCCTGAGCAAAATGCCCTCAAAATTTATTCATGTTTAAACAGGGCATGGTGATACATGTAATCCCAGCAACTTAGGAGGTGGAGGCAGGAGGATTGCAAGTTCAAGTTCAACCTTGGAAATTTAGCAAGAAGCTGTCTTAAAATAAAAAATAAAAAGGACTGGGGCTGTAGCTTATTGGTGAGCACCTCCAGGTTCAATCCTGGAGGTGCTCCAAATTCAATTTGTTGTAATGCCAAAACAAACAAAGGGACCATCATGGTTCGTGCCACCCCAACTATCCTTCCTGTCACTGTGGGAATTCCTCTTCTTTGCAAAGTCCACCAATCCCTTAGGTTTTATGTGTCCTCAGATGTGACTCACCAGCACTTAGAAAGTGGTCTTGGAGGTCATTTGCTGTTGCTGACACCCAGAGACCCTGCTGAGCTGAGGTTCAGCATCAATGTTGCCTGCTGAGCCAGAAATGGCCTGTGTTGGCACCCAGGCTGCGGCTCAGGCCCACCCATGAGATGCTTATGATTCTGGCCCTGAGGGTCTCACCCTTTGGGTGCTCTGAGAACATGGCTGAAGCCAGTGGCAAGGGGAAGACCCTCATGTGTTACCACGGCAGGTCCCCGAAGGAGGCTGCATGGGCCTCAGGTATGACTTGTTGCACAGCAGCTCTGTTTCCACCAACTGTCCCTTTCTCCCCACAGTGACTGGGCAGGATGAGTTCCTGCATCAGCCTCTGTGGGTGCCTGGAATGCCCAGCCCCTTACAGCCCCTGGTCCTGGTGTGGAATATACTCCCAGTGCCACACTCCTCCTCCTTGTGTTGAGAGCCACAACTGAAGGGGCCCCAGCAAACTTCCAGCTGCCAGCTGATGATTGGCTCACAGCGGCCCCAGCAAACTTCTAGCTGCCAACTGATTGGCTCCTCTGCAGTGATGCTCATTGGGCTGTTTCCCCGCCCTTTCAGACCACAGAGCTACTCATTGGGGGACTTTTTTTGGCTCCGCCCACAGGACCCAGCCAATTGGGCCTCAAGAGCAGGAGGAGTGGGGGAGGTTGAGAGGCTTGTGGGAAGCCAGTGGTGGCAGTTGGGCTCTGAGGGTTTTCCTGAGGAGCTGTATGGTGTAGTGTGTGTGTGTGTGTTCTAAAAATAAAGTTCGTTTCTTTTGACAAGTGGCTCCTGAATTGTGCCCAGCCAGACTGCGGCATCCTTGGAAGCATCTTCTTTTGGGGATTGCTGCCGTACTTTGTTAAGTCTCTTCTCAGTTTATCAGATGAGCATGTGTCCCAACACTGGCTCTTCCATCTATCTAGCTGGTCCCTCCAAGCAATGACCGCAGGTGTCCTAGGCCAGATGACTGACTCCCAGGGTTCCACCAAACCAGATATAGCCATTCACCCCAAAGACCAAACAGAAAAAGTAATGGCAAAAAGCAGGAAAGGAACTTTAATTAATATGGCTGTATTGGGAAGGTAAAGTGAGACCCAGCGTCTCAGCCCTGCCTTTGGGGGATTCATATGAACTTTAGTTTTAGATGAAGAATTGGGGTAGGGGCAAGAGGTAGGCAGAATTGAAGAGTTTTGGTCAAATTGTGGTCTGGTTGATCATGGTCTTTGTTGTAGTTCTGCAGAGAGAGAGGTGGCTCTGGAGAAGTCCTAGTACTTGAGGGGCATTTCAGTTACCATGGGACGACTGCTTCTGTTTAAGGGGACAGTCTCACGGGTGATTTGCCTGCAACATTTACTGTTCCTGAAAGGTTTTAGGCAACAACTGAAGACTTCTAGGTGCTACCCCAGGGGTCTGAGACAGGATGATGTGGAGGCTGACAGTCGAATGTCCTTGTGTCATAGGAAATGAGGTACCTCCAGAGAAGGGTCCAAGAAGTTCCCAGAGAGAAGGGGTAACTCAGCTCAGGATGAGCAGGGTCCTTGGCTTACATAAGAAAAAAAAAATAATTTCAGCATGTACCAGAGGCATAGACAGGGGTTTATTTAGGAAAGTAGATACATGTTCAAGAAAGAATGTGGGCAATTTCAAGACAGAGATGAGTTTTTGTCTGGCTCTTTTTTTTTTTTTTTTTGGATCAAGAATTGAACCCAGGGATGCTTTACCATCAAGCTACATCTCCAGCCCTTTTATTTTTTGAGATTGTCTCAGTAAGTTGCCCAGGCTGGCTTTAAACTTGTGATCTTTCTCCTGACTTAGTCTCTGAGTTGTTGGGATTACAGGCACATAGACCACTGTGCCTGGCCTGGTGCTTCTTTGAAAAGGGAATTTGGGCCTGGTTCAGTAGTGTTCACCTGTAATCCCATGTTCTCAGGAGGTTGAGGCAGGAGGATTGAAAATTCATAGCTAGCCTGGGCCACATAATGAGAGTTTGTCTCAAAATAAAAAGGGCTAGGGATGTAGCTCAGTGGTATAGCACCCCTGGGTACAATCCCAGCACCACAAAAAAGTAAACAAAATAAATAAGTTCAGCCAAGTGTCGTGGCGCACACCTGTAACCCAATCGGCTTGGGAGGCTGAGGCAGGAGGATCACGAGTTCAAAGCCAGCCTCAGCAACTGTGAGGCACTAAGTAACTCAGTGAGACCCTGTCTCTAAATAAAATACAAAAAAGCGCTGGGGATGTGGCTCAGTGGTCGAGTCCCCCTGAGTACAATTCCTGGTATAAAAAAAAAAAGTAAATCAATAAAGAGAGGCAACTTGGAGAGGGATGTGTGTGAGAAAGTATGTAGGGATGATATCAGTCTAGTGATCACAAGGCAGTTTATGGTGGTCAGGTCAATCTCGGATCTTTAGGCTAACGTGCTCTTTCTTCATTATATAATCAATATATGGTGGTGGAAATCTCCCTAAATTATAGGTTTTTCAAAATATGGTAATTCTCTTAATCTATTTACTTTGAGGGTTAATTACAGTGCTCAAGGTAATTATCATAAGTGAATAGATTTCCCAGGAATTTGGAAGTGACTACCTTAGGAGAGAGACTGGTTTTGGGAATGACAGGCCTGGAAGTGTATGAGGAACTTCTGAATCAAAATTTCATTTCCTTGTCCTTCTTTCTTTCTGTCCCCTATTTCCTCCTCCTCCTCCTCCTATTCCTCCTCCTCCTCCTCCTCCTCCTCCTCCTCCTCCCCACCCCCCACTGTTACTGGGAATTTAACCCAGAGGCACTTTACCTCTGAGCTTCATCCCCAATCCTTTTTTTATTTTGAAGCAGGGTCTCACTAAATTGCTGAGGCTCTCCTGGAACTTGCAATCCTCCTGCCTCAGCCTCCTGAGTCACTGGTCTTATAGACTTGTGCCACCTCATCTGGCTTTTTTCTATTTTTTATTTTTTGTATTCTACCTCATTTGCAAATCTTGGCTAAGTCTGAAAGGGAATGAGATGGGTCAAAGGTAAAGTTAGAGCTAATAAAACTGAGTTACCAGTTTTTAGATGAACACCCCTTGGATGATTAACATACCTATGTGTGGAGCTGAGTAGGTCACAGCATTTAAGATAATAAAGGAGATAGACACAAAATGAAGGCAGAGATGCCAAGCAGTATTCTGCTTTCAGTTACCCATAAGACATCTGCAGGTGTAGGCAAAGTCACTGCTTTTAGCAAAAGTAGTGTCTCTGAGTCCATTATCCTAGGAGCATATCCTATATCAGATAGTTCATATCATATAAAATACAACATACAGACATAGGGTTGGAGAGATGCCTACATCTCTCAGCTCTAGCCTGACTGGAAGCACATGTCCCCAGATGTCAACAGTGGTTCGCTCTGGGTGAAGAGATCCTGGGTGGCATTGATTATCTTTGCACTGTTTGGAACCATCCATTTTTGTCCCTTTTTTTCCCTCTCAATACCCATAAGGGCAAGGACAGTATGTCCTACTCAGAACCTCATCCCAGCACAGGGCTGGGCCCATAGAAGGCGTTCTATAAAGGTGAGGTCGGTTAGCAGATAGTCCTGTTGAAGACTATAAGGGGTTGGCTTAGCGATAACGGAGGCAATTTTCCCGCCCCAGCGCCAGCTGCACTCGGCCTGGACCTGGTGCCAGCATTTCCGCCCCCGTCCAGTGCCCGGGAACTGACGCCTTGGGTGGGCTGGAGAGCCTGGCGCCGGCCAGGGGGCCTGGACTTTTGTGATCTGCTGGCCCAGCAGCCCGGGGCCGCCCCACCCGCTCCTGGCAGGGGAGGGACCGAGCCTTCTTGTCCAGGAACTCGCCCCGACTGCTCCCTCCTTCGCCCCTGCCTGGCGCCGCTTCCGCGCCTCCCTCCAGCCTCCGCGGTCAGCCTCTGCTCTGGCACCTCCGACGCTCCCCCAACTTCTGCCCAGCAAGCAAGACCGTGGCTCCGGAGTGTCCCAGCACTTGGGTAAGCTCCCCTCCACTCGCCAGCCCATCCCCCACGCCCCCGGAAGGGCCACGTCCCTCCCTCCAGGCTCCTCCTCCCCGCAGGTCTCTCTGGAGGCAGGTGAACCTCTTTCCCGAACTGGCCTCCGGACGGCCAGGTGGTGCCGGATGACCTCTTGCTTGGGCATGCTGTGGCCTGAAGCATCCCGGGATGGGAAGCTGGGGTGGGCGGGCCTCTCGCTAGGACGCGGGAGGACTTCAGAGGCTGCCTGGGGAGGACTTGGGGACCTGAGATTCCGAATCCAGAGGGTGCAGCCAGTGCTGACTCACTTGGGGACATGCTGGGCCCGGGAGGACAGCCCTCTTGCTAAACAGTTCCTGTGCAAGGAAGTCGGGCCCAGTAGGGGATTCCAGCTGGTGAGACCCCAGAGGTAGGATGGAGTGCGGGGCTGGTGACACTCGCTCCTCCATCCTGGATCTGCCTTCATCATCTGCTGACCGTGCCGTTCTCCATCCGCACCTTGCTGTCTTCTCTTCCTGGACCATTTAGCCTGCTTCTCACTGCTCTACTTGTCCTTGCTTCTTCTCCACAAAGGGCTGGGCATCCGAGGGGCATGGCTTTGAACCACCTCCACTTCCTCTTCCCCTGGTATCACTACCCCCTTCCTCCACCTCTTCCTCCTTCTTGGGCCCCTGCCCACCCCTTCATTCATCCCACAGCTTCCTGTGTTCTGCCATGCCCGAGGGGGCCCCTAAGAAGCAACTGGAGTTTTCAGCCTGGGGAACAGGAGGGGACTGAGGCCTTCATTGGATCATGTGTTCATGCATGCATGTGCTTCCACTTGCTCACACAGCCCGTGTTCTTTCCCATTCACTCATTCATTCATTCTGGGGACACTTATTGAACATCTACTATGTTTAAGGCTCTGAGTGAGCCAGAGGTGGTGGTGCATCCTGTAATCCCAATAGCTCAGTAGGCTGAGGCAGGAGGATTGTGAGTTCAAAGCCAGCCTTCGCAACTTAGCATGGCCCTAAGCAACTCGGCAAGACTCTGTCTCTAAAATATGAATAATACATGGAAATAAAATATAAATAAAATGTGAAAAAGAGCTGGGGAAGTGGCTCAATGGTTAAGTGTCCTTTTGGGGTCAATCCCCTATATCCCCCCAAATAAGACTGAGTGTTCACGGGTGTGTGTGGGTGTGTGAGTATGTGGGTGGGTGAGGATACTCTGTGTTCCATCTCTGCTGCTAGCTTGCTTAAGGTCAAAAAGAGGATATTAGCACCAATTTTCTGAATTTAAGAGAAGAAGCATTGTGAGATATAAAGGGCTATAAAGTGTGTGTGCTGTGCGTGCCACTTAGGATGGGAAAGGAAGGCTTCCTGGAGGTGGTGGCATTTCAGTTGTGCCTGAGTGGTAAGATCTGGATGTAGACTCTTCATTACTCTTGGACCATGGGGTGGAGGCAACGTGAGAGGATTAGAAGAAAGCCTGAACAGGGAGGCCTCGCATGGGACCGGACATGTGCTCCCATGTCTCGGCTGGCTGTCTCAGGCCCCTGAGTGGCTGTTAAACTCTCTAATTGTCTAGGCAGCCTTGAGGGAGTTCACCCTTAATCCAGGGGGTATACAAGTGGAGACTGGGCTCCTAGGAATGGGCATGGAGCTGTAGGTTCTGGGCCACGGAGGGTACTGAAAAGTGGAAGTTGGAGTGGATGATGTTGGAGGTCCTCCTGCCCAGGGAATCTGTAGTCCTCTATGGAAGGCTAATGGCCCAACAGAAGGAATTTCTCGGGGTTTGGTTATTTATTCTCTCATTCATTTCCTCACTCACTCCTATACCTATTCATTCATTCAATTAATCTATCCATTCATCTATCGCTTTGTAATATCAGGGCCTGTACTCGGGACTCAAATGACACCGATGAGGTCCCTGTGCTTGTGAGTCAAATGGGAAAGACGGACCCAGGCCTGACAGTGACAACTCAGTGGCACTGTGATTTGTCACTGGGTGGGGAGAAAGGGTATGGACCTGCAAAATGAATGTAGACATTTGTGCTCCATCTAGGAAGGCCCAACTGTGGGGTCAGAGAAGAAGGATACAGTGTGGGAAAAGGGATGCTTGGAGGAGAAAATACTCTGGGCTCACAGAGCTTCCAGAGCAGGCTTTCTGCAGACAAGGAATGTCCCAGAGGCTCACTGGAAGACTGGGCCTTTGGGCTGAGGACATCACAAGCTCTTTCCACATTAAAAACAAACCTGTTGCTGGGCATGGTGATGCACACTTGTAATCCCAGCAACTTGGGAGGCTGAGGCAGGAGGATCCAGAGTTTAAAACCAGCCTCAGCAGGGTGAGGCCCTAAGAAACTCAGTGAGACCCTGTCTCTAAATAAAAATACAAAATAGGGCTGGGGATGTGGCTCAGTGGTCAAGTGCCCCTGCATTCAATCCCTGGTATCCATCAAACCAAAACAAATACAAAAACAAACCTGTCATAATCCCCGGTAACAAACAAACAAATAAACAAAAACAAACCTGCCATGTCAGCAGCTCAAGAGTCTGAGGCAGGAGAATCACAAGTTCAAAGCCAGCCTCAGCAACTCAGAGAGGCTATAAGCAACTCAAGTGAGATCCTATCTCAAAATAAAATAAAATGTAAAAAAGGGCTGGGTATATGACTCAGTGGTTAAGTACTCCTGGATTCAATTCCTGGCCCCAAAATAAATAAATAAATAAATAAACAAACAAACAAATAAATAAAATCTGGGCTTCATTCTCTCCAGTGGTAACGTGGGAGGACTGACTTAGGTCCCTGGTTCTCAAAGTGAGGTTCCTGGTGATCAGCATGAGCATCACTGGGGGGATTATTTCAGTTCTTGGGCCCTTCTTTGGCCCTGTTGAACCAAAAACTCTGGATATGGGCCCAGCAATCTGTTTTAACAAGCCTTCCAGGTGGTCCTGACTCAGGCTGAAGTCAGGCTTCTCTGGACTATGTATGATTCATGCACATGTTTCATGCCTCCTGTATTTGGGGCCCTGGTCTGGGTGCTGGTGGGCAGGGAGAACAGAGATGAGTAAGATGTGGTTTCAGCCCTCAGGGGGCTGCCGGGTGAGTTGGAAAGGGGATGCAGATACCCATGGGAATATTCTCTACAGGAACGGACGGTTCAGAGCTGCTGAGGCGATGAGACAGGAGCTAATTCTTTAATAAAATAACATGGGAAAGAGGAGACCTTTGTGAGCTGGATGGGTCTCTGCAGAAAGATCTAGCTCTCCATTGCTTGTTTCTGGAAGTCCTCTTATAAGTCTAACCGAAGCCTTTTACCTTATACCTTGTTGTGGGGTTGTGCAGACAGGGCTTTGGACTTGAGGTCAGGAGTGGTCAGGAGTGGTGATTCTAGACAATGTCCTCACTTTGGGTGGCTCCCTGTCCATCCTTGGGCCTCAATTTGTCCATTTCTAAGATAGGGTCGCTGGGCTAAATCCAGTGAGGCCGAGACATGGTGTTCCTTTGGAGAGAGGGTGGCTGGGGTCCAGAAGCTCTCTGGGTTTCCATTCCTTCCTTTATATAGTTGAGGGCCCTGAAAATTGCCCTGGCTGCCTGCCTATCAAGTTAGCTCAGGGACTGAGTGAGATGAGCTGTCCCTCTTGGGGCTTGTTTCTTTCCCAGTCCAGGCAGGTTGCATGAGACCTCTTCAACTCATGCGGCCCTCATCATGTTGGGTGTGTTCATCATTCCCAGAGGCACCTGGCATCAGAGGCCCTGCAAGATGAGGCTCCTCAGAGCCCTGCATCTTCTTCTGTTCCTGTTAGCCCGTCCACCTCACTCCTCTTCTCAGTCTATCCAGAGCCATTCAAACTTCAGGCCAGCTCTGGCACTGCCAGGAAGCAACCTGGATTTTCCCAGTTTTCAGTGCCGGTGCTATCTGTGGGCCATCTTGCTGTTTTTAAGGTCTTGCTGATTTTAATTTCTCATTTGTAGACACAGAAATGCTGACAGATACAAGCTCTTTGAGGGCAAGGCCTGAGCTCACAGGGAAGGACATTATAGTCCTTGATTCCCAGAGCAGGGAGGCCTAGAGAGGAGGGGACTTGCCTGGAGTCACACAGCACATTAGTGAAAGAACCAGACCCTGAATCCAGGTCTCATAAACATGCCCAGAAGAGACAGTATTGAGCTTATAGTGAATGAACTAGAAGCATGAGGGCCAGAGGAGAGGGCAGAGGGCTGGGAGCTGGCCTGATCGGTTTGCAGGTGCTTTGTAGTTATTGGCTGTACCACCTGGGGCACCTTCCTGTTGGGTGCCTGGCTCACAACAGGGGCCTGGTTGTTATGGGGTGATTGTTATCTCCCCCATCCACTTGTCTTCCGCAGCTCTCTTGCCTGGATCCCTTCCCCCACCCTTTTATTTTCTACCTTCCAGGCTCTTTACTGTCCCAACTTCAACTTGAGTGTCAAGGTCTCCTGGTCAAGCTTCTTGCAGGAGTCAGGGGGAGAAGGGGAAAATCCTGGTGGTGACTACAGGGGGCTGAATCCTGCATGGCCATCAGGTGGAATTTGGCAGGTGCCACTTTTAGAAGAATCTCACTGCCCATGTTAAAGAAGTGAGTGGTGCGCCCTGCCTCTGGCCAGCAGCTGCTGGGCTTGACAGCCTGGATGGGTGGAGCAGGCAAGCGGCTCTCTCCAGGGTGAAGAGTCCTAGCAGGTGGGTCCGCTGTCTCTGCAAGGTGGCTGGCAGCGCCCTGGCCTCCCGCTGTGCTGCAGCCTGACCCCTTGTGGACGGATGGAAATCTGGACCTGGAGCTGAATCTCCGGCCCCTGGGGACCATCCTGGAGCCTAGGGTCCCCGTGGGGAGGATGACGGAGCCGGCATGGGGGCTGGAAATGGGGGTGATTGGAGTTTGGCTGGGGTTGGAAGCCGAGTGAGCTTCCGGCTGGGTGTCCAGTAGGTGGGGACTGGCTCCCGAAGCGGCGGTGCCCAGTTGGCCGCCCCTGAGAACCCTTCTGGGCAGGGGTTCCAG